AGGTTTGATATTGGAACAGATTTTGGAGGGACGGAAACAAAAAAAGAAAAAAAAAAAAAAAAAAAAAAAAAAAAAAACTTACAAAGTTATAATTGGGCAAACAAAAATGTTCTGCATGGAAAAAATTTACAGTTAAGAGTCAGTACTGCTTTACGTATTATGCATGGCTAATCACATTAATCCTCAAACAACTGTGGGTATAAATCTGTATTAAGAACAAAACCAACCTCATGAGCTAGCGCTCGATCTCAAACTTGTCAACCTTCATCGCTCGATCGGCATCCGCACCGGAGGCTACTTTCCCTAGTTCCGTTCATGCGCTTCAAAAAGACTGGCTAGAAGAAAGCGCTCTCTTACTGATCTCTCAACTATTTAAGTCTCTGGTTTTCTTATAATGAAAAAAAAAAAAAAAACTAAAAATAAATAAGTAAAATAACTGTCTCACAATATCAGATGTTTTGCAATGGAAATTTGCAAAGAGCTCGATCGGAGTTCTTCAGTTGCTTTGCCACTGCTCTTCTCAGCGTAAGCCATACGCTGAGCAATGTAGCTTTATTTCGAAGCCAATAGTTATATACATATTTTTACGGCCGGATTCCATCTTTATGCTCTGTGATCTATGAGCTTCTTCTTGAGGTTGAAAGTTGCTTGTTAGTTGGTAGCTTACTTGCTATTTTGTAATCTAAAGTTTGGTATTTTGGTGTATTTCTACGGAGTAGAACTGTAGAAGCAACTTGTTTTCAAAATAACATTTACTATTTGTATGTAACAGAGTTTAAAGAATGCCAAGCTAACGGTCAACCTAGCTACACTACTTTAAGCAAAAATAAATAAATAAATAACCCTAGATACACTACTTTTTCACAAACAATTTAAACTTAATTTATACATAAAAGTCGTACAGGTGAATAATTAGACATCAAAAACTAGTACCATCTGCCTAACTAACACACGTTAGGGCAGTTTAATCATGATGGTGGTGGTGTTTCCAGGCACGCCGACGCCTGAATACACCAAGTCAGCGGCGGCGGTAGCCCACTGGTGTTTCCACGGCTTTAGGGTCTGTCATGCAGAAGTCCCAAACGGCAGAGTGTGAGGGTCAGGAGAAGAGAATATTGGGGCAGTTAATTTTATAGTTGCTCATACTACTTTTTTTTCTTCTCTTTTCTTTTTGTGCGTGTGGTAAAAATGGATGCTAATTTTATTTCAAACTCAAGTCATCAAATAGTACAAGATGAGAAATGAACAAAAGAATAAAATGCTATTTTAGTGCATGGTTTGGGAAAATGTTTGGTGTTAATATCTTTTGATCAAGACCTCCTAGCAAAAAAAAAAAATTTTTTTCATTATGACCCGCAGAAGAGCATTGACCATTCCAATATCCACATTTCCATATCAGGATTGGTTGAAGATTTGGTGTACATTCCAAAAATGGAGTATCGCTATCGCTGAACGGTTTAAAAAACACAACAATTATGTTACTACTTACTACTTGAAATATGTAGTCGTTCTTTTTTTTGGTTGCTAATCTGATACATGCTGGTATATGAGAAAAATAGTCCAATAGTACATCACATGTGAAGAGATGGGATATTCCATAAACAGACAATTTTCCAGCTGTAGTTCTAATGTGTGGTAATTGACTACTTTTTTGGTCTCTTTCAAAAGAATCAGCAAAGGATTTCGTTTTTGTGGACTGTATAATTCTCTCATGTATGGTTTGAATCGTTTGATAGAAATGGAATAATCATAAAATGCCACAGCTATTGCCTCAAATTTCCTTATAGAGGAGAGTAATATATGGATTCATGTCGTGGACTTTTTGAATTGAATTAAATAGAAAACGAATGAATTATACCAGCTTAATGCTACCATCTATGTGAAGTTTGATACTGGATCGGATTGGAATAATTATAAATTTTTTTATAATAAATTGATTCTTAAAAAACAAGACAACGTGTTCAATATATAGTTTTTTAATTAATTTGAAGACTGAAAAGATAAATTTTGTTTGAAAGTGAGACCAACAATCATTAAACTTTAGGATTAATAATCCAAATATTTTAAGTAAGGACATAAATAATTGCAAATCCTCAAAATTAAAACAATAACACATTAAGATAAAATTTAAATATATCGCTTGATAATAATTTTCTATTAAATATTGTTAACCAGATTGTCCTCAAATACGGGCCTACATATTTTAAAAGCATTGCATGATAGTCTTATTGCCAAAAACATTCATGAAAAAAAAAAAAAAAAAAAAAATCGATGTATGATACAATTGTTTTCCATTCAATGATTCCGTTTTATCGCGCAATCGATTCTAATTTTACGATGTTCATTAACAAAAAAATGTTTCTCTCAGCAATTGAAAAGGCATTTTCAAGGAAGAAAAAGAAAAAGGAAAAAAAAAGGCTAAAGCAACTCAAATTATTAATGCCCATGTCAATAAACTAGTAACAAGCTAACTGGCATGCCATTTTTCTTATATATCCTGGACCGTCCATAACTTATTTCTCTCGGGATCTGTTGAGGAGCTAACTAGAAAAGGGAAAATAAAATATTTATCTCTTATCCTACATATTTAGCCTTCGACATCAAGAACCTTATTTAAAAAAAGTTACAAGATTAAAAACTTTACCAAACAAAAACTCAAGTGGATAGAATCTTTGTAACAAAGAAAGAGAGAGATCTAAGTCTTATAAAAATGTATTAAAAAAAAAACAAGAAATGCCTACCATTACGTATACCATTATCGTGCTCATGATAGGTTAATAATGTATTATGCTTTTAACATAGTGAAAAGTTTTGTTATAATTTTGCGTATTATTTATGTCATTCTAAATAATTAGATATAATTGTGATCTTTTATTTTCTTTTTATTAATTGACGGTTATTTTTTTGTGGAGCGACATAAATAAATATTTTTTGAATGATAATTATTCGTTAATATCTTTTTTAATGGCAATTGCTTATTAATTGTATATTTTTTTACCATCTTAAGTTGTATTTCTGGTTTTTTCTCTAAATCCAAAACTCTTTGTCAAGCCAACTGATTTATGAAGTAATTACACTACATGGCAAAATTTCATATCTTGAGTTGAAATTTAGCAAAATTTTCATAATATTATAAATATAATAAAAATGGCATAATCAATATTATAATGATGTCACATTTTATGTTATATAATGATATAGTCAGTATTTTAATGCTATCAAAATTTTACTATTCTTGTAATATTTTAAAAATTTTGCTATATTTAAATCTTACTATTGAAATTTTGTTGTATGTGTAAATGTGTTAGGTTGAACCTGTTAACATGTCATACTTGTACGGTTGTAGCAACCCATAGCCCAACCTGCTTTTAGTTTTTCACACCTTACAACAAACATCATAATAAAATTATCTAACTTAATCCTCCCCTATCCTATAAATAAGAAATTCTAGATAAGAGATTTTACATATTGAACGGGGCTTCATATAATTCTAGGTCTTTTTTTTTCCTCTTCTCGTGTTTATCCCAATTGTGATAATTTGATCCACAGAAGAAAGAGATCCTAAGAGATTTCTATCTTCATAAGATCTTTTTTCTTATTTTGTAGTTTTTGTGTTTTCATAATAATTAACAAACATATGTCCACTCAAATCTCATTTCTTTAATGATGATTAGTTTGAGCGGATAAGATATTTAATCTGGTTGTGGTAATCAGTTTAAATTTATTATTTTGTTTATCATAGTCTTGGGTGACCATGCCCGCTTAAGTGTTCGAGTCGGGTTGAGATTTCGAGTTTGAAATCTTTTTAGCCGCCCCAACCCTCCTTCCTTCAAGGTTGTGACCAACCCGACCCAGTGAAAATAACAAGCTAGCCCAGTCTGACGCAAAATTATCATTCAAATCACTAGATTTGTGTCGAATGGCCCAAACTTTCACATCTATTTATAATGGATCATTTGTTATAACAATATTAGTATTTTTTTCAAGATTTATAATTGTAATATTTACACCAAGGTCATGTTTGGTAGCTTGTATTGTATAAGGTGTATTGTGTTGTATTATTATAATAGAATACGGTGTTTGGTGTCATGACGTATTGCATAAGTGGTCAAAGTGAACAATTTTAATAAAATTGGGATCAAATGTAATTTTAATAAATTTGGGGTCAAAATGTAATTTTCAAAATTTTGGGGTCAACTATAATTTTTCAAAAGTTTTGGGGTCAAAATGAAATTTCATAAAATTTTAGGGTAAAAGTGTAATTTTACAAAAGTTTTGGTGTCAAAATGTAATTTTACAAAATTTTTAGGATCAAAATGTAATTTTTAATAAATATAAAATTTACTCCACTTTAAAATAATACAATATGCAACTCTATATTAACCCGACCCCGCTCCAACATGAATCATTACTCCACTTTAAAATAATACAATATGCAAAAAATTAGATGTATTTAATAATACAACGTATACCTTATTAATTTATTATATGTATTACGACTACCACACTAAATATTATATTATTGTATTATTATATAATATAATGCTCTAATACGGTTAAACAAACATGTCACCAATAAATAAAAATTTTCGCTCAACATAACACAAGAAAGAGCATTTCAAAACATAAAATGGTCGTTTAGTTGTTGGATTCAAGGGATTTGAACCCAAATTCATTTCAAATTGATGTTTATTTTGTAAAAAGTAAAAAGACGTTTAAACTAAAGTGACATTATGTTCTTTTGTCTAAAAAAATTCAAAAAAAGACAACTCGAGTTCTAACTTTATTCAAGTTCACGTTCTTTTAAGTTTCAACTTTATTTAACTTTACTCAACTTTATTCAAGTTACAACTTTAACTCAAATTATAACTCAAAAACTACACTCAAGTTATACTCTAAAAGAACAACCCTTTAAACTCTCAAAATAAAAAATTTCTAAACTCAAATCCCTCTTAGATTTTCAAATTTAAACATACCCTAATTTGAATCTTTTTCCCGAAGGAACCCAAACTAGACATGTTACGAATTACAATCGATTTCGGGCGGAGCATGCCGGATAGTTAAAATGGGGTGGGTTTCGCACCGATTCGGAGCCGGCCCACTAAATCTAGAACACATACGAAACTGGTGAGAACTCAAAACCCCCTCAACTGAACTGAACTTAACTGAGCTAAACTCCAACACCCCAAATCCCAATCTGTCACCCTTCGCCGCAGCTCGTCGTGTCGCCGCCATGGAAGGTAGGCTCAAGCCTCAAATCAATAATTTTATCTCTCTGTCAACTTTTTTTTTCCCGTTCAAGTGTTCCAAGATTGAAAACTTTCGAATTGGCCATTGGGGATTTATTTCAAACGTCAGTGGTGATTGATTGTTTTTCAGTAGGTAAGCGTAGGAGCAGCTCGCTAGGTTTTCGTGCCATCCGGTTTCTTCTTCTTTTTTTTTTTCCCTCCTGATGTTTTGCTTTTATTGCATACCACCTGTTCGATGAAATTCCTCAGACGCCATTTCCGTGTTCGGTGTTTTATTCCTGGTTGTACTGGCATATAATCGATATTATACTAATTTATTTTGCCTTTTTGTAATTCTAGAGGAAGTGAGTGTAACTTGTCACCAAAAAGCTCAATAGAAATCCTGAAGCGAGACAGGTCTGGTCGTGTGAGAACCTTTAAGCTTGGTAAGTGGTCCTCATTACATTTGCTTAATTTTTCTCTCTTTTTTTTTTTGTCTTACAAATATCTCTATTATGTGCCCTTTGGTATTAGTTGGATATTCATTCATGTAGTTTGAGAATTACTCATTGGTCATATGTTCTATGAAGTTTTTCGATCAACTTTACTAACTGAAACTTTTTAGCAAAAAATGCCTCAACCCCATTTACTTCCCTAGTTTGACGACTAACAATCTGTACTTTCCGACTGAAAAGTAGATACTTAGTACCTTAATATTGAGTCTAGCTAAATCATGGAAACAACTGTACTTTCTTTAGTGAAGTTTCCAAGCTTATAACTTGACTCCATTAATTGGAATGTACTCGTACGGAAATCGCCACCTGGCAATTGTAAGCTGGTTCTTTTCAAAGCTGTAAGGCTAAGGGTATATTTAGTACTGATTCTTAGAGTTTTTATATTTGATAAAAATCATAAAATGTGATTTTAAAAAAAATTTAAAGAATTTATGTCAAAATCAGAAGCAGTTTAAAGGTAATTTTAATTTTTAAATTGTATAAAAATTATCTTAAAATACAATTAATAAAATTTTCATAATACTCATAATACTCTTAGAATTAATACTTGTATAATTAGAATTTACTAAACAATCAGTTACTTTTTATAACAATTTTTTTTTCAACATAGTTATCAATAATTTTTTTAAAATCTACGGCACTACTAAATTGGTCTTACGTAATATATTCCATAGAGATATTCATTAGTTTGCAGCCTAATTTAATCCCTTTGGGCTTTAGTCACTCTCTGCTTTTTACATGGATAATAATAATCAAGACATCAATAAACATTAACATGCAGATATTTATGTTATCATTCATGAACTTAATCCACCCAACTAATAAGAATTTTCCATTTGGTACTTCTGGGCACTTTTACTTTCATATCAGTCTTTTCTTCTTCAAATACTTGTGTTCTGACTTGGCATTTAAGCAAGCTTCTGTTATACTTCTGAGTTGGATAAAAACCATGAAAGTGGTGAATATACTGATATTTAATGACATGAAATCTTACTAACTGTGCCTTTTCGTCATTATTTACACTCATTGGAATTTTAGGCCTCGGTAAAACATTATAAATGCATAACCGACTTAATTTCAGTGGGCTGACATGAAAGGAAAGATTTAGGGGTTGTTCTTTTGGAGTGTGATTTGAGTGTAATTTTTAAGTTAAATTTGAGTTATAACTTGAGTTAAAATTATAACTTGAATAAAGTTGAGTAAAGTTGAATAAAATTAGAACTTAAAAGAACGTGAACTTGAATAAAATTGTAACTTGAGTTTAAATTTTTTCTGTTTTGTTACAAAAGAACAACTCATTAATGATCTAATACTCATTCATCATCTAATCAAACTCCAAATTCTGAAACCCCCGGAAAGAAATAGATTATGTTTTCAACACAATTATCAATAATTTTTTTAAAATTTACGGCACTACTAAATTGGTCTTACGTAATATATTCCATAGAGATATTCATTAGTTTGCAGCCTAATTTAATCCCTTTGGGCTTTAGTCACTCTCTGCTTTTTACATGGATAATAATAATCAAGACATCAATAAACATTAACATGCAGATATTTATGTTATCATTCATGAACTTAATCCACCCAACTAATAAGAATTTTCCATTTGGTACTTCTGGGCACTTTTACTTTCATATCAGTCTTTTCTTCTTCAAATACTTGTGTTCTGACTTGGCATTTAAGCAAGCTTCTGTTATACTTCTGAGTTGGATAAAAACCATGAAAGTGGTGAATATACTGATATTTAATGACATGAAATCTTACTAACTGTGCCTTTTCGTCATTATTTACACTCATTGGAATTTTAGGCCTCGGTAAAACATTATAAATGCATAACCGACTTAATTTCAGTGGGCTGAGATGAAAGGAAAGATTTAGGGGTTGTTGTTTTAGAGTGTGATTTGAGTGTAATTTTTGAGTTGAATTTGAGTTATAACTTGAGTTAAAATTGTAACTTGAATAAAGTTGAGTAAAGTTGAATAAAGTTAGAACTTAAAAAAAAGTGAACTTGAATAAAGTTATAACTTGAGTTTAAATTTTTTTTGAGTTTTGTTGCAAAAGAACAACTCATTAATGATCTAATACTCATTCATCATCTAATCAAACTCCAAATTCTGAAACCCCCGGAAAGAAATAGATTATGACAATTTACAGTTTCTGGGTAGTTTGTTATTTGTGCAGCGCATATTGTAATTTAATAATAATAATAATAATAATAATAATAAAAAAGGTGTATGATCTACCAGAGTCGATCGATGGTAGGTCCAGGTTTCCAAAAATTTTATTATTAAAAGTACTTTCAGACTAGAAAGCTTTCAGAAAAGGAAAAACCCCACCCTAGAGGTGGTGGCATTAGCTCAAAGTGTAAGTCATATAATAATAGTTTCGTACAACAGTTTCAAACTTACGACTCTTATCAGAATAATGTGGATTACATGAGATAATTTTGTCAAAATTGATTTAACGAGCACATACAAGGTCCAAATTTTCTAATGGCTGAGAAGAGATTGAACAATAGCGACAAATTTATAATATGACCAATGGCATCTCAGAATAACACAGTATCACAGACTTGGTCTATAAGAGTCTCTACAATCTCGTGAAAGAAAACCAAAAGAAGGAAAAAAAGAAAAAACTTTTTATCTCATTTTTGGGAAACGCCACAAAGTCACAATACAAGTTTGTCACTGACCCGAGAGGTCTTTTTTCAGTCAAAAAGCATCCCCAGGTGAGCTTTAGACCCTGCCTTGTTATATTAAATTTAAAAAAAAAAAAAAAAAAACCTGAGCTCAGTCTGCCAACAAAATTTGCTTAACATGGATAGATGAATGTGACTAATATGGAAAGAGGTGGATTCAAAGAAATGAAGGTGAGGAAATGTTGGATTCATGAGCATAAGGCTGAGTTAGTTGAGGCACATTAAAGGAGAAGTGGCATGTGTTTTGAGGCAGAGAAACAGAGGCCTAAACAGTCATCACCTTAGTGCACTTCCCTGACACTACCTGCCAAATGCCAACCCTTGAGGAAAGGAAAAAAGAAAAAAGAAAAAAAGAAAAAAGTGCTTTCAAGTGCAACCAAACAAACCAATGCCTCCCTATAACCAATGGTCTTTTCCCTTGCCTCCTGTATTGACATCATCACTTACACTTGTCTTAATGCCTCCTTACACCTCCAGCCCCCCCCAATCTTCACAATTCCTAAGAAAAAATATATAATATAGTATGTGAGGATATTTTGTGAGGCTTTTTACTTTTCATTTAGAGCAAATATCTTTCATAGAAAATAAAAAAGAAAAATAAAGGAAAGAGAGAGAGAGAGAAATTGCGTTTGAAGGTAGAGACTTTAGTCATATCATATCAACGAGTACGGTGGAGGGGTGAATTTTGGTGAGGTATAGAAATTATCAAAAAAAAAAAGAGTTCAATGGACATTATAAAAGGAACCGTGAAAATTTTATTATACGAGAAAGAAAATCAAATCATGCAATCAAGTTGTTGATTAAACATGCGACCAATGGATTTCTAGCAAAACTAATTGTCATTTCTAAAGTTTCATCTTTTTTTGAGAGGTTTCAAGTCGGTTATAGTGATTTGACAGCAGACTAGATGCCGTCTCTCCCCGTTGTTCAAAGACTCTTGTAGAACTGGTTCTTAACCGTGACCTACAACGGAATCTGGTAAAGGTAAATACATCTGTATATACTGCCACAAACCATTATTTGTTTTTCTCTCTCTCTCTCCTTTTTTTTTTTTTAATTTGGTAGCTATGTTAGGATGTTGTCCCAAATTTTCACAGCAAGTGTGGTAAAACCACGATAAAAAACGAAAGGAAAAAGGTAAAAAAGAGAGAAAAAGCATTAATCCGTACCACAAAGCAGAACTGAGCTGCGCTTATTGGCCTCTTATGTCTCTCAATAAGAGCAAGACATGTACAGACTTTCTCTTACTGACTCACGCCAAGCTTCAGTAGCCTTACTCGCATTACAAACAAAAGAGATTTTGCTATACCCACTACTAAAAAACTTCTGCACCTCCATTTTTCCATTTATTCAATTTCAAAGGCCACCTTTATTTATTTATTTTATTTACTTATTTTGTTTTATTTCTTCTTTTTGTGGGGATCTATATTTATGATGTGGAGACATCAAAATGAGAGGTGCACAGAAGTGACCCATATTTGAGATTTTTTTAATCTTGTTCTCTGCTTTCCTCATTTATTTATGAATTTTCGTAAAAATTTCAGAGACAAGGGCAGCAACACAGGGCGCTGCAGAAAAGAAGCAGTAGCATCAGAGACGCAGTCATAATAAGAGCAGACCACTCAGAAGAGAGAGAGAGAGAGAGGAGAGAGGAGGGTTGCGTTGTAGCACCAGGGTCATAAGGGGCTGTAAGTTTTATCCAAGCACAGAAGAATCTGCATCCCAATGGTCTTTTGCAAAAATACCCCCCAAAACAAACCTATGAGCCCAAGGAGAACAAACCTGCTTGCCTTCTCTCTGTCCCTTAAATCTTCTTAAGCTGTTCATTTTTCTTGTTCTTCTTGTTATTTTTTCCTTTTTTTTTTTTTCCTCTTCTTTTACTGCTTGATATTTTCAGAAAATGATAAGTGCAAATGCAAGTGCAAGAAACAGGTCTCCTTTCACTGCAACTCAGTGGCAGGAGCTTGAACACCAAGCTCTTATCTTCAAATACATGGTCTCAGGAGTCCCCATCCCACCTGATCTCATATATTCTGTTAAAAGAAGCTTGGACTCCTCATTCTCTTCAAGACTCTTCTCTCACCATCCTAGTAAGCATCCTTTTTTATTTAGCTCTCTAGTTTAACTTTATCTGAATTAAAAAAAAAAAGTGTTCTTGTTTGTATTAATCTGTGACAAAATGAAAACTTGGGATCTGTATCTTAATCCCTGGTGTGATTTCAGCAGCTGGGTGGGGATGTTTTGAGATGGGTTTTGGCAGAAAAGTAGACCCAGAGCCTGGTAGGTGCAGAAGAACAGATGGGAAAAAATGGAGGTGCTCAAAAGAAGCATACCCAGATTCCAAGTACTGTGAGAGACATATGCATCGAGGCAGAAACCGTTCAAGAAAGCCTGTGGAAGTTTCTTCATCATCTACAACCATAACAACAGCTACGAATGCTACAACTACTATCACAAACCCTTCACCAGTCATGTCATCTGTCAACAGAGATCTTTCTAGTACCACTCCAACAATCTCTTCCTACTCTCAGCTTCCTTCATCAATGATGTCCGAATCACTTTCCCACCATCCTTCTCACCACAACCCCTCTCTTTATCCCTTTGCTTACCCTCACTCTTCATCTTCTAGGCCTCCTGATTATGGTTTGTCAACTCAAAATGCCAGCAACAACAACAACAGCAGTCCTTATTTCTGTCTGAAATCGGAATCTTACAGTACTCAGTCCGATAAAGATTACAGGTAAGTGTTTTCAAACTAAAACTACTTGTTAATTTTCTTTACCGTTTCTTTGTTTCATTTGAGTTGTTTTGCTGTTATAGGTATTTTCATGGCACAAAGGAAAGTATGGACGAGCTGGCCTTCTTTCCTGAATCTTCAGGAAATGCAAGAAACTTTCCTGAGTCATGTCATTCTCTGATGAGTTCCTACAGAGGCTACTCTCAACCACAGTTCCAAGGCCTCACAGACAATTCCAAAGAACCCATGAAGCAGTCATCCGAGGATCAGCAACATTGTTTCATCTTGGGCACTGATTTCAAATCAGAAAGAGCAAATGAAAGTGCCGTCAAGGAAGCTGATACCCAAAAGCCACTCCATCACTTCTTTGGGGAATGGCCACCAAAGAACACAGCTGCAGATTCCTGGCTTGATCTTGCTTCCAATTCCAGAGTACCCAATGGTAATGTCAATTTTTCCAAACTAAAATATTTCCTTTTTATTTTTCAACATTTGACTTCATTTTCTTTTTTCACATCTTTAATCTGAAACTTTTAATTTTTCTTAGATTTTTTATTTTTCTATGGGCAGATGGTTAAAGTCTCAAGCCTCAATAATGGTTTCTCTCCATCAAAGGCCAAAAGAGTACTTTGGTCATGGACCCTCGTGGGTCAATATACTTTTTTCATGTTTTGAATTTGTGGCTAGGGAGCGTTTTTTAGGTTTTGATCGTCGAATAATGTAGGGCCACAGGAGGATCCTGTCTTTTCTGCTACAATACTTAATATCTTCAATATCCCTTGTAAGGAACATGTCTGATATTTTGAGGTTTGCTTGTTTGACCGGAGACATATTCTATATGCTTTGGGGCCTCTAGGCTCTCTTCTCTACATACTGTGCCTTCTAATTATCTGAAATGGTAAGCTGTTTTTTTCTCTTTTTCCTTGATTCTTTCTTTTGCTTCTGCTTTTACTATTACACAATAATGGTATCAACAAAGAACATGGCACATGAACTGGTTCAATTGCATGCATTACTTAGAGAGAACTTCTTCTGCAAAAGGTGAGATATTGGGTTTTGCTCATCCAATTCCAAGACCCCAAGATCGAGAAAATCCCCATCACAGCTTTTACTTCTGGATTTTCTGTCAGTTGCTAGGCACACTGAATTTGTAAATTCAGTTTTTGTTCTTGGCTTTACTTAGCTGAGACATAATTAATTACTGAGTGTATTATATTTTATTATAATAGTATAAGTTTTGAATTGAAGATATGCTACCAACATAACATGAAGAGCCAAAACTTATCATTATGTTAACGTTGTGATGCAAGCTGCCATGAAAATATGGAACCAAATATATATCTTAAAAACTTTTTTTTTTTTTTTTTTTTTGCTGATGATATCTTCATCTCAGAGCTTTTCTATGACTATGATATCCACTTTACTAAAAAAGAAATTCATCTGTTTTAGCGTCTACAAAATTTTCTTAATGGGGGACCAGAGTTTGGGGTTTACAATTCCTGTCTCCTCTTTTGGGCAAAACTCTAAATATTCGAGGTGAGTAAGCTTGTAATTAGGGGATCAAACCGTTTATATTAAGAGCTGACTTGAACTTGGTCGTTTTAAAGTAAAATATAATAATTTTTCCTTTTTTTTTATTATTTTGTCTATGAAGGCTTGGTTGTGGTCGTGGAAGTACCCTTTCGGAACAATGCGCTTTTATTTCTTGCTGAAAACGTTGAAAACTCTCATGTTTTTTTTCTTTTTTCCTATCACTCTTTTCGGAAGCTCTGAAAACAGCTTTTGCAAAATCATAGCTGCGCTGTTTCTGAAAAGGGTAAACTACTTTCTACTTACATGACAAATAAGTCTTCCTTTCCATGTGGACACCATGAGTGTTTAACACACCCCAAAATGATAGACAATGAGTCCCATGTGATAGAAAAATGATTCATCCATACAGAATAAATCTGTTCACTCATAAAAAGATGAATCTCATTAGGTTGGACCTTACCTATTAATTTAGTGGGATCCATCTTATATGAGTAGTGAGATTTCACCCTCATAAAAATGAATACAAGTGTTCCGGGAGATAAGGTTAAGTGTCCACACATATCAGAAGAAAACTGATTTTTTCAGAAATAGTATAGGTGTTCAGGGGGCTCGTTTAGTTCGCTGATTTTAAGTTTTTAATTCGAATTGATATGTGATTTTATGTGAGAGTTTTTTACTGTAGAAAAAAAAATTAGATGTGACTATTTCTGAGAGTTTTTTACTGTAACAACTCAAATTGGTAAAATAAACGTAGAAATGTAAGTCTAATTTAGAAGTGGCGTGGTGAAAGTGAACAACTAAACCTCAAAAGGAATACCAGTTTCAAAAAATAAAAAATAAGAAAGAATAAACTTCAAATTAATACCTAGCCTAATTTACACATTGGTGTGCTCATTAGCATTTCCTTCACTCTTTAGCCGGAGTCTATTCTATTATATGAAATGTAGACGAGTTCTTTATTATGCTTTGCCTTTTCTAACTTGTCAAACGTTGAAACTTAAATGAGGTTGCTTTACGTTTCCTCTCATAATATGTCAACCGCTTCGAATGAGTTGACTACAGGAATTTACAAATTTCAACGAGTGAGAACTACTAATTGGACAGTTCACTAACCCCTTTTACCAAACAAAGCAGAAGAGAAAGTTTTAAAAGAAAAAGAAAATTAAAAAAAAATAAAGATCCCAATGAATAGAACCTATGACTACCATCTCTGTCATTTTAATTGAAGCTGTCATGGTGTTATTTACATATATATATATATATAAACCATGATTTTAAATGTTTCACCTGTCAAGTTTATACAAAGCGATATGAAGAGAAACGGGAACAGAAAGACAGAAAGTGCCATGTCACACATAGCGTCCATTCTCTGCAGCATATATCCGAATGCATCATCATCATCATCATTATAATAATAATAATAATAAATTTTTTTTTTTTTTTTTTAAAAAAAGTTGGGATCACACCATTTGTATCGAACACAACAAACAGAAACTGAGCTTTATCTATAGATTTCATGTTGTGAACCCTTTTATAATTGAGTGTTATCATAATACCCCTAACATTGTTCTGTTTCTTTTCAGGTTAATCCTATAGATGATGTTGAGCATTACCTCCAATCTCACTCTAAGTCCCTAATTTTTTAAATGTCTTTTTTTAGTTTTTAATCTATTACTTTGTTTTAGTTTCATTTCCATTGTTAGTTAGGTATTTAATATTTGATAGAATCTGCGTGTGTCCTCCACCTGCAAGGTTATTGAATTGATGAAGTTTAATGTAAATGCTCCACTAATAGTCTCTAAACTTCATATTTTTTAATTTTGGTATGTGATTTCCTCAAATCTCGTTAAATATTTAACACGTGAAAAGGATTTAAACTGAGACAAAGTAATAGATTAGGGACTAAAAGTAGAACAATTTTAAAGTTAAGAATAAAGTAGGAATGAGATAAAACTTAGAGAACGTTTCTTTTTTTTTTCTCTCTTTTTTTTTTTCAATGCTCTTTCTACTTAAGTTTTGACTCTTTAGTTTTATTTGCAAACTCAAAGCTTCACTTCTCTAATATGAAAAATGTTATTTAATCCTATCACAAACTGGTGGGGCCTACTTGAAGGAGCCACATGAGCCTCACCCTACCAGTTTGTGTCTGATGAAACCATGACCCCGTCAAATAGAATAGAAACACTTCAATATATATATATATATATATATATATATATATGAGACAAAACCAAGCAAACTATGAATACTGGCTACTATTCTTAAACAACTTGGAGTTAGACTTCCATTCGCATGACTAAGGATATGAAAATAATGGAAAAAAATGGATTGAATTGTTAATTGTTACTATCGGAAATAGGATTGACTACAAATTCGAGCCATAACACAAGGTTTCGGGTTTTGCGAGGAGAAGATTCTGTTCACCATATTCTATTTGATGTGGGTACGAGTTGAGCCGGACTATCAAATGTTCAAAACTGTAGTTGGCATATTTTGTAGCAATACTAAATGAAATGTCAATCTATGACCAGTCAATAACCTTTCATTCAGTCAAATATGAAGAATGTGCAGATAAATAAGCTGAAAAAGCAACGGTTGCCAATGTCAGGAAGTCTGGTTCAGCACGAAAAATAGTGTACACCCAACACGGGGGAGCCTTTCTGGGAGGTGCAAGCGATCACTTGTATTTAGATTTGGTATTCTCCCAACTAATATAAACCATACAAGCGTTAGTTTACATATTTAATATCATTAATTTACCATCAACTTTGTGAATCGAGGTCGCTAATCTTATATTTTCATTTTATTCAAATTAAATTTGTTATAAAAGTAGATTTTTTTAAAAAAAAATATAATATTTTTGCACTAACAGGTGTAAAATGATCGTGCCAAAAATTCTCCTGTCTGATCAGCTCGTAAAATAGTAACTTTGAAACTTGAACAAATGTTGTCGTTTCTCACTTCTTATATTAACGACTTCTTATATTATCTATTTAAGTCGTTTTCCGACGACTTAGTTGATCAATAAATTTAAGTCGTTTTCCGACGACTTAGTTGGTCAATAAATTTAAGTCGTTTTCCGACGACTTAGTTGGTCAATAAACTTGTAGGACGACTTAGTTGGTCAATAAACTTGTACAGACCGTTTGGTATATGAGTTTAATTTTTTAAATTTTTTTTTTTTTTAATAAAAAAATATTATAACAAAATCAAAAACCATGAATTTAAACGGTTAAAAGGACCTGTTTTTTGGGGTGTGACTTAAATATAGTTCTTAAATTAAATTTGAGTTATAACTTAAGTTAAAGTTGTAATTTGAATTTGTGTTTGATTGTGTACATTTGAGTTATGGTTTGGAATAAGAATCTTTTTTGAGTTTGTGTTTGAGTGAGTCAAAACTTGAATTTATATTTAGATAGTATTTTAATAAAAACTCAATGGTGATAAAAAATTTTAATAGGGTATATGAGTGAGGTTTTATTCGTCTTTTCGTTGTCAACGCATAGAAAAAAAATCATCTCAATCAAGACTAAAACAAAAAAATTATAACATTTTTAAGAATAAAAAAATATTGTTCATTAATTTGAGTTCAAATTTCTAAACTCAAGTTGAAGGGAAAATGTGAACTCGAGTTTTAATCCCAAACTCGAGTTCAAACTTAAAAGAACATAAACTTAAATAAAATTAAAACTCGAGTTGATTTTTTTTGAGTTTTTAACCTAACCGAACAACCCCTAAATAACCCATATGCCAAAACTACCCGTAGTAATTAGGAATGACAAGAATAACCAAACTATACTGATGCAGCAATATCATAGATCAGTCTATCAATCCTAACCTGATCAAAAAATTGCCAAGAGAACCACCACTCCACCAGAACCGTGTTAAAATATATAATCCTTAATAATCAAAACCACAAGCAAGATTACTCGAGAGGATTTATGAAACTTTCTGAGCAAATAATAACTCCCTTTTAAGAAAGCGCAGTAAGTCACAATCAAAATTAATGGGGAAGACAACAATGAGATTACAAATATACAGAACAAAGATTTAGGTTTTACTTGCCGTTGTAACTAAATAAACTAGATACAGAACATATTCCTAAGCAAACTCCTAAGCCAATTCTTGAGTGTTAATTAGCTGTAGACATTGCCAAAGAAGTTAGCATTTGTTTCCTTTCTGTAACGCGAAGTTTCAAACTTGCCCCTCTAAAGACAAGACAACCTAACCCTCCAATACTTTTGCTAATGGCTTGCATCCAAAAAAAAAAAAAAAAAAAAAAAGTTACTCTCTATGAGAAGTTCACCAAAGGAGAAAAAGAAATTTACATAATTCTGCAATACATAGTCATTAGTGGTATGAAACCATAAAAAGTATACTATTACTATTTTATGTCACAATTTTGCAAACATAAAAAACTAGACATTATCACTGTAACCCTTGATCTTTTCATTATATCTAACATTGTAATACACTTGCACTAACAAAGGTTAGCAGAAAAATAAAAAAAGAAAGAAAAAGGCATGAACTAATAATAACACAATAGGCTGAACTGGGTCTCTTCTTTTTTGGGATAATAAGCCGTGTGATAATTTTTAGGCTAAATAACCAAACGATGAACAGAAACGAAAAGTCAACATACAGCAAAATGAAGAAAATGTCAAATCAACAATTACCCATTTACAGAACAAATGCGATGAACAAAATGAAGTAACCGATTCTCCAATAACCACCAATCAAGATGCTCCCGCCGCTCACTAATGAATCAGAGTTCAATCAAATCCGGCGCAGTAACGTTCTCCCTCAAAAGAATAATCTCAAACCCACAAATAGGCTCCAGCAGAGTTCAAAGAATTGATGAGAAATCTGGACGATTCATGGAAGAAAAACAACAGTAATAAAACCTTAAGAACAAGTTTCGTATCTGTTGGTGACCTTTAGAAGCTGCCGTCTCTTGAAGACCAAGAAGCTAATCACCCCAATCTGAAGAATCGCCGCGATTCCAGAAAACATCAACCCAACCTTCTTCCCGGCATTGATCTTGCTTTTACGTCGCGGCGGCGGTGGATGCCGACTCGGTGCACTATTTCTCCCCTCATGACTAGATTTTCTGTGCGGCGACGGCGGCGGCGGCGGCAGCGCCGATCTATTTCTGTTCAATTCGTTCTTTGCATTCGGCTGTTTTGCAGGGCCCTGAGCCGGGGGCGCCGGAGGGGGAAATGGCGATGGCGGTGGTGGCGGCGAACTAGGAGGAGGAGGCCGTGGTGGAGGTAGCGGCGGTGATGGTGGAGGTGGCAGCGGTGATGGTGGAAGCGGCGGCGACGGCGGCGGTGGAGAATGAGAGGCTACAACCGGAGGCGGTGGCTGTTTACGACTGGTCGATCCATCTCCCGAGGGCTGTGAGTCGACGCGGAGAGCGAAAACGGAAATCAACAAGCCAAACACCACAAGAACTAAGCTCGACAATGGCGGTTCCATGAATTTCCGATTCCCAAACACAAACTAGGGTTTCCCAATCATCGTTTCTTTCCCCAAATCCGTTTCATCTCAGTAAGGGCCAAAGGGGAAACGAAAAATCCTACCTTTTTCGGATATTTCGACGTAATCCAAAGCTAGGGTTAGCGAATCAAAGTCCTTTTTGTTCCCAAATCCGCGTTCCAGCAGTACCCAGATCACGATTAACTTGGTGCTCGAAAAGAATCAACGAAAAATTTCAAAACTTTGGTCCCAATCGAAAAACAATGATTTGGGGGTCCAAATTGGGTGAGAATGGGTGAAGAAAGTCAAAGAAAGAAAGAAATGGTCAAAAGTGGAGTAAGAAGGGACTGAAAACGTGTTGCGTTGCGTTGTGTCGTGTCGTATGCGAGAGGAGAGAAGGGGTTCTGAATCCTTGATTGATCTTCTTCACCACCTTCGCAGAAACACAAAATAAAAACACAGACCGAACAGGGACGACAAGAAGAGAGAGAGAGAGAGAGAGAGAGAGAGGAGAGATAGGGTCTACGCGGGCTTCAACGGATGGGCTTTATTAGGGTGATTGGATTGATTTGGGAAGAATAGCAAGAATCTTTACTCTTCAAGCTTGGGGAAGAGAGAGAGAGAGTGATTGTGTGTGTCTCTTCTTGTCTAGGGCCATGATCATGATGAAGTTCAACGAAGTTTGGATCATGTGGGCCCATACGATGTATCATGGCTTTGGGCTTCTTGGTTGGGTGCTGGGATGACGCGGACAACGCCACAGGCCATCTTCTTTCACACAATTAAAAATAAAAAATAAAAATAAAAATAATTTTTTTTAAAAATTAAAAATATTTTTATTTTTATTTTCATATAAAAAAATAAAATTATTTTAAAATGAGTTCTAAATTCACCCACTATGTGAACCAGTAACATTTTACTCACTAAAAATAACCGCGTAACAAATCAACTGTTACGTCAACTAACCATCATGAACAAAACATTGTAATCCATTTGCCTTTCGCACACGACTCCAAGAAGTTGAAACAAGCGCGTTATTTCCAATTGCATGTCGTTAATATTATATGATAACAAATATACAAGAGTAAAGGAAATAAAGAACATAATATATATATATATATATGTTATATATTTCACTTTCTCAGACTGACGTTAATTAGTAAATGATAATTTATTCAATACTTCCACATCCATATGGAAAATCTGTCAAGAAACATTAGTGATGCATATTATTTCATTCCATTATTTTGTCTTTCAGATGCACTTTATAAATATAGATAGTTGAAGTTACGTGCTTCGCATGTGAGAATTTCTTGTGAATATTATATTCTTTATAGTTATTTTAAAGTATTTAAGCTTTCGTTTAAATCTTTTTAGATTTATTTTAACCATAATGTGTCACTTTCATTAAAAGGAAATTACAATTTCATAGTTCAAATTACACATTAGATCTTGTTTGTAAAAGTAGATAAACTGAAATCTACATCATAGTCAAAACAAGTGTTTCGATATTCTTAAAAGAAAATGAGTTAAATGAAAAAAATCAAATATAAGAAAGCTAATTACACGGTACGTATGATAAGGGAAAAAAATGTTTAAGTAAAGTCACATTTGAGAGAGAGAGAAAAAAAGCTATTTAAAAAAAACACAAAATAAAATATAAAGAACACATTTGGTAAAATAACTTTTCAGACGATTGTTTGAAAAAATAAAAATTATTAGGAACATATGTGAGAAAAATTAACATCGTATTTTTCATAAAAAATAAATAAAACAAAATAAATGGTTACATCATGTTTGTTTATTGAATATTATTTATGTATAGATATATAAATATATATATGACATATTAAAGGAAAATAATTTTTATCGGAACAAACAAATTGAAAACTATTCGAGAGTAAATATGACAATAAAAGGAAAATTTATACAATAATAATATCCAACAATTGTTTTCATATTGGCAATTAGAAAAAAAAAATGAACTTTAAAGGTGTGGAGGAAAAAAAATTAATAAATTAGAAGAATAAAATATTTAATATATATTTTAGCATAAGATAGATTATTTTTAAGTTTTAAGGAAAAACAAAACTAAAAAGAATAAGAAAAGGGAAATAAAACACAATTTCAAAAAGGACAAATATGTCCTATAGCAAAAGTAAGGTGGAAAAAAAGTAAAAATCCACAAAAAGGCAAAATAGTGAGACTAAGCCCATGTTTGTTTCAATAACTCAAACTCAATAATTCAATTTAAACTATAGTTTAGGATTTAAATTAATGTTTAGTAGAAAACTAAACGAGAATAATTCAAACTATTGATAATGGTTTAAACTCTTGATTTTAGAATTTACCACTCCCTAAATTCTAACAATCTATGGGCTTGTTTGGTTGAATAACTCAAATTGTGGAGATTTGTATCTTTTTTGTTAGAATCGTAGGATCTGAATTGTGATGATTTTAATTGTGATTTGAACCGGTATTTAGATATGCACATAAATTATAATTTGAATTGGAATTAAAATCTGAACTGTATTTAGATAAAGTGTTGAAAATTATCATTAGAGTTTGTAACATATCTTATAAAACCTCATTGTAAATGACATTAAAAAATATGTAATATGGGTGGGGATTTGTTTCTCTCTTCATTATGAACATATTAAAAAAACCGTCTCAATCAAAATTAAAACAAATAAGTTATAACATTTTTAAGATTGAGATTAAAGAGAGAGAAAAAGTATAATATGGAACTGTTGAACTCTTGACAACAATTTGAATTGTTAAAATTTAGAGGGGGTGGTGAATTCTAAAATTCAGCGGTTTGAAGCATTGTTAATGGTTCGAATTGTCCTTCAATTTTTCTCTCCCAAACGCCATTTTGAATCATGAACAAAGGTTTAAATCGTAACAAATAGTTTGAGTTGTTAAAATAAACAGTGCACAAATCTTACTTTTTCTCTCTCCTCAACTTAAAACTTAAAAATGTCATAACTTTTTTGTTTCAATTCTGATGGTGATGATTTTTTTCAATATGATTATAATGAAAATTCTTCATCTATATTGCATATTTTTTAATGTCATTTACAATGAAGTTTTATAAGATTTGTTATAAAATTCTAATAACAGTTTTTAACACTTTATTTAAACACAGCTTAGATTTTATTCTCAATTTAAATTATAATTTATTTGTGCATCCAAATATATGTTCGAATCGCAATTCAAATCATCACAATTCAAACTAAATCACACAATCTAACAGAAAACCAAACGAGGCTTAATTTTTTAAATACTGCCTAAATGAAAACTCTTATTTATAATATAGTTATACATTATAGATTGTAGATGTAATGGGATGAACTCAAGAAATGCCACGACGTAAAAAAGGCCATTTTTTCGTGCAGTCACAAACTCACATAACACTTCGTTTATTTCATGCATTTAAATTTATAATTTTAATTCTGTTACAATTTTTTTTTTCATAAAAAAATTTAAAATTTAAATGTTAAAATTAAGAATCATTAACTTAAACACATAAACTAAATGGGTTTAAAATAATTAATTAGTATTTATGGCAATCAAGGGCAACAAAGCAAGAGAAAGTCAAAAATAAAAATTAAAGGGAAATTATTTAAAATAATAATAAAAAAAAAAAACCAAGAGGTCCTCGAAATCCCCCAAATGTCGACCTGGCAATAGCATATTTGAACACCTGAGTTAACGACAAGTTGTAGCAAGTTTTTCTTGGATCCCACTGCGGACATTCATTAAGGGAATCTTAACCAAGATCATGTTGGAAATTATCAAATAAAATAGAAGCACGAAAGTCAAAATCCTCATCAAAGACAAATAAAGAAAATGCAAAAAACTAATAAAGTAGAGACAAAGGCAAGGAAATAAGTTCCTTCTTTATTTTTTTCACAATAGTAAAAAAAAAAATGTCCCAATTATTACGAGAGAAGGTGAGACCAAACAACCAATACCTTAACCAGTCGACTTTAACGAGTTTGAAAATCAGTTCACGGCTGAAAGCAAAAGGTTTCCCTAAGCTTTTATGGTATGACGTAAGCTTTCTTTTAAATTATTATGTCGCGTATCAGACATATTTAAAAAAATTTAATTTAACAATTAAAATATCAATTTCTATAAGTATGATTTAATAGTAGTTCTTACTATATACAGTGATGAAGTGACAAAGTCAGAATTTTTTGTCAAAAAAAGCTAATAACTACAATAGATATTTATTCTCAATAAATTTCGTGTCTTAAAATATTACATAAAAACTTTATTGTCAAAGTCATGGAAAATGTCTTTGTTGATGTACACAAGTAAGTTTTCATTTATTGATAGTATAATTGACAGTTGATTTATAAATTAGAGAAAAAATATATAGTTTTTGCTCAAACTAAAGCAAATAAAATAGAACTACAATCTAGAACAAAAGGAATAAAATGTTGTAGACATATTACAATTATGTCTAATTGATTTTTTTTTTTTGTTTTTTTACTAGAGTTATATCTTTCTTATCTAAAAATAATTGTTGGGTATACTTTCTATTTAAGATATGCACACTAGTGAAGAAAATCAAGAAACTATAAAATAAGGAAAAAAAAAAGTATACTTACTATAATAAACAATCCAAGTCATGATTAGGGGAGAAGATCTTGCTGAGTGCTTACTAACATTAGTTGGAATTTAGTTTACTTTAAAGTGATACTTCTTCAAACTTTTATAAATAAAATGAAGTTTTTAATTTTTTGTGGGGGCTATTCATATATTTTGTGCTTTTTTTTGTGGGGACTAGTCATAAATTTTATGCAAATCTATATATATATATATATATATATGAGCAAATAAATTTTTTTTGAAGGGGGATTGTCCTTCACTACCTCCGACAGTGACCATATATAAGAATTCTTTTCCTCTTCGTTTGTTTCATGTATTCGTCACTGATTCTGAATCATGATTCATGATTTTTTATAGTATTTTTCTCTCATAAAAACACACGTAAAACGAAAATATTTTGAATCATGATTCTGAATTCATGAATTAAACGTCCATATTGATTAAGACCAGATATTGTGAGAAATTTTAAGGGATTCTCCTACTTTAAGGATCATGTAAGTATCGTTTGATCAAAATGTGTTTGGATGTGATGTATGAATCCATTATTCTCTATAATGTACGTGGTGATCCTATGGTAGAAGTAACATATTTTGAAAGTGTTAGACTTGAACAGTATTTTGACCACTAATCTGGTATACAAAAAGCTATTCATTCAACGCAAAAAGGTAAGTTAAAGTATTTTTCTCTTCTCTAATTTCCCAATTAAAATAATTTTTTACAAATATGTCCTTGCTCAAGTAGTTTTCTTTCAATCCTTTCTATATTTTATGTTACAAATATTTGACTAAATTTTTGTTCTCTTTTATTTCAATCAAATATTTTTTTCTTAAATATTCCCTTAAATAAACATTTTTCTCGTCTCATATGTACACCCTAATTAATTTTCTATTTGATTAAAAAAATTTAACTATGTTTTATATTTAAAAAAAATACTATTAATGAAATAATTATGCTCAAACATGCACTCACT